TTTATAATGGAATTACGTTATCGTTTAATTTACAAAATTTTTATGCAAGATACACAAATCAATCAATTTCATTTGTTTTGCCGCCGTCTTTTTCTTGAGTTTTGTTAATGCGGCGGGATTCAAAAATCCAACGCGCGTTGAGCTCGACATTAAAAAAAAAAACTGAACTGTTTTGTCCTCTCGTGAAATGTGTATACTAAAAAACTCGCCTACTATAAACTTAAATTCTTAAGTATAAATACAATTTTGCATATGTTCATTTTGTTGTTGTTTTCTTTAGTTGCGTATTTCGGACAGCATTCCTGTTTCTTTTGATATTATTAGAGGTGGTCTCATTGTTATGGGTTTTTCTTTAGCTTTTTTTTTTTTTTTTTTTTTTTTGGGTATGTGGTTTGTGTGGAGTGTGTGTGGGTTGGTGGTGTAGCTTAGACGAAATGGGATTGACTGAATGAGGAGGAGGTCCACTATATTTGTTCTTGTGGTTTCCCTTAATTATGCCAACAAAGTAACAATGCTTTACTCGCTCTCCTCATCGTCGTCATCTTCGGATTCCTCCTTTTTGCTTTTTTTCGCTGGCTTTTTGGCAGGCTTTGAGCGTTTCTTGGCATTTCCATTCGGCGCACCACCACCACCGCCATTGGCCTCAAAGTCCTTCACGGCACGATCGTAATCGTCCTTGGCCTTGGCTGCCTTTGCCTCCCACTCCTGCAAAGCAATTAAGAAATTTAATTAGTTATCAAATATATAATCGAAGTTTTCTTTTTAATTATCAACTCACCGACTTATCCTTCATTGCTCTCCATAATTCACCTCCACGCTTGGCCACCTCGGTGACTTTGATGCCAGGATTCTCGCGTTTGATCCCCTCGCGTGCGCTGTTCAACCACAGCATATAAGCAGAGAGCGGACGTTTTGGTTTATCGGCCATTTTATTTTGTGTCTTTGTGTGTGTAAGTAGTAAGTTACTAAATTAATTTGCTAAGCTTCGAGCTGTAATGAAATTATTAATAAAAAAAATTATCAAATTAGTATCAGTTGCAAAATACGCTAATGAAATGCCGCTCAAAAAAAGGGCAAAGAGAAGAAGCCACCACCATAGAGCAAGCATACACACACACAAGCAAGCAGGCACATATACATGCAGCAATGGCCGAACGCATCAAAAGAGATGGCAATACTGCTCACGTACACACACACAAACACATACACTGGTGCTAGCGTCGAAGCTGACAATTCAGAAAAGCGCGCGCGCGCGTCTTTCTAACTAGAAACGACATCCAGAGTGCGCGCAGCCTAAACAATATTAGCAGATTAATAAAAACAAAAAATCAACATTTAAATGCCAAATCACAATATTATGAACATTAGCAGCCATTTTCTTTATGCTGCTCCCACAGCGTTGAGTGCAAAAGACCGAAATGGCAACACTTTTTTCTGTATGTACTGGCTGCTTTGCTTGGGCCTGTGTGTGGTACAGCAGCGTCGTGTATGCGACGCGCTCTTTTGCACTGGCACAGCAAGCACAGGCCCAGGGCCAAACGACGTTTTGTATGAGAAATGTACTACAAAGAGCAAATTTTTATGGTGAAAAATTAAGCAGCAGGCGAAAACTAACTGAAAAGTCTGTTAAATATGTCTTTAAAATTGATGTTGAAACCGCATTTTCACTATTTAATTATTATAATTGGCCTGTCATTCAAGAAATTGCACATTGTAAAAATTTTCAATTTAGTTCGCCTTCCTTGTATGTAAACAGTTTTATTTTGTTTTATGAATCTTTTCAATAAATGAAATAACTATATTGTCACACTTTAAATTTAAATTTTAAATCTTGCACAAAATTAATTTAGTTTTTTTTCAATTTTTGACTGCGTGCGTTTACCAACCTTTCACGTTTCTCTGCTGACTTCAACTGTACTGAGTGAATCAAGCAAAAAGGCAAGGAAACTAAAAGCAGCAGTAAACGTTGGTCACGCAGCGCGACAGCGACGTCGGCAGCAGATAAATTGCCGGCTGGCCAGTTTCTCTCCCTCTCAGAGAGTGAAAGAGCGAGAGCGAGTGAGAGAGCACAAATGAAGGGGCAAAGCAGAAACGCTGTTAAATGCCAAGTAAAAACAAATACAAATACGGAAACAAAGTAAAATATGTGAATAGGACAAAAACGCGCGCATTTCAGTTTACTGGCCGTGCGTTATTGATGAACAATAAATTGTTCAAGAATGTAACGCATTTTTTTTACACATAATTATGCAAAATGAATTCAATAAATAGCCCAAGCAGCCATTTTGACTGAACGCCGCTCACGACAATCAAAAAGTCAGAAAAAGACATCGCTTTACTCTCTTCGTACAGCAACGTCGTACGTTGTGATGAGGCGATTTGAAGTGTGCTCACTGGGCACTGGAAAGGTATCAATGATAACTGAAAATTGTTAATTTCTTTCATGAATTAATTCACTACACAATTTAAATTAAAAAAATAATATAAAAGTCGTATATCCACTATTTCAATTCACTTAACGAATTGTTCGTACTATTATATATGTATTTTATTAAACCGAATTCTTGGGACACAACCAACCTTTCTCTTGAGCTGCTCAATATTAACTGTACGAACTCTGCATCCAGTGTTATAACGAAAACAAGCAGCTGGTAAAGATGGTGATATCGTTAAAGTTGACATACATACATAAGCAGAAATGCTACCTAAGATGAGCGCGTACCCTTAACGAGGCACGACCTAACACGATTACTGAAATATCTTACGATTTATATATGATTGTTCGATATTTAAAATGATTAAAGTATTTATGAGTTAGGTTCGCTTGTATGCATAAAACTACATAGCTTTGCTTATTATTAATGACATTAAATTGATATATTTATATTTGCTTATTGCAATATATTGTTACTCTCGTACGACACGCAACCATATCTAAAAGAGCGAATGTACGAGAGAGCGAGTGAAAAGCCAGCCGGCTTATTATCTGAGACATACACGTTGAGATAAATCGGAAATATAGAACTAAAGCGGAAACGCCGATAAAAGCCTGGTAAAAACAAAAATAACATCAATAAATATTCCGTTTGAAATGTAAATGCAATAAATGGCAGCCGCAAAGCGTATTTACAATAAAAACAATTTCAAATTAGCTAACTGACAATTATGAACCATTTAAATACTTCTTCATCTGCCCCACATTTTCGGCTATGAGTGTGTAGAGCAGTGGAGTGTCTTTTCATCTGGCTCTTTCCAATGGCTCTCTCACAGTCACGTAGAAGTACATACAGAACGGGCTCTGAGGCCTGACTTAAAAATGGCGCCAAAAATGACAATTTAATCCCAGGCAAAAACATATTTTACAAATCCACATGCACTAAATGCTAGCATAGGCACATATGTGTGTACATATGTATAAATATCTGCATATACTTATATATCCACATTTAATTATATTAATATGCGCATGTATGCATCTAGTTTGTCTTTGCTTAATTTATACTTACTAAATAAATGGAAAATTGTTTACCACTAATTTTAGCAATATGAATTATGAAGCAAAGTTCTAGAAAATGTGAGCTTTATGCATAAATAAGTTTTCAATTCAATTTTTTCGGAAAATCAATGATATCCACTAATTTACCAGCAGCTTCTTTAATCAACGCGTATGTTTGGCTTTAATGCAGAAAAAACAAACTCATTCGACGAGCATTGCTTTTGAATGGTATAGCAGCAAGCTTTTTGTTGTGCATATTGGAAAAACAAAAAAGGTTGAAAAAACAACTGCTGACGTCACAAATGGACTGCTCGATGTCTTGGATATATATTATATATATACGAAAAATGTGAATATTGTAGTGGAAATTATTTATATGACAAAATCGTACGCTGCTGCTGATACAAAGTTTTCTTGAATGTCCATAAAAGCATTTTAGGGTGTATATTATAGAATAGCATTAAATGGATTTGTTATAGTTAAAAAATTTGTAGACATCTTTAAGTGACCTCAAAACCTCATTTAGCTCACAAATTAAATTAAAACCCAATAAATTATTAAATGCAATATATTTCCATATCAAAAGGAAATCTTTTATAGATCGTTATCACAACCATTGTTACCAGAGGCTTACCTTATGCAAAAAAGAGAACATAAATTACCAGACGAACCTTCCACACTTCTCTCGTTGTAAAAAATCTCAAGCAAGGCAGTTTTTTTTTTTTTGTATGGACAAACATACCTACATCCATTGTAACGGTTGCTTGTAACGGCTGCTGTCCTGTTTAGGGTTAAGTTACCCACCCAAACTCAGCGTTGTAGAAAGAGGGAGAGAAAGAGACCGAGACTGAGAGCGAGAGCGAGCTCACAAGTCGTGCTGTGGATCGTTTTCCCGCCATCATCTTATTGAATAGCTCTGTGAAAAAAGCCGAAGGCCTAGAGGAAACCTCTCGTAATAGTCGATGCTATTTGAGGGTAAATTTCTAGCTGGGAGAGGAAAACGCAAAGGCAGCGGCACGGCAACGCCGTTTGTACAAAGGATAACGATGTCACGCGCTGTTTGCAATGCACAAAGGCAACAAGGACAACAGGAATGGCAGGCAGTCGAAGGACTCTCTCTCTGTGAAATTCTCTGTGCGATTTCTAGCCAAGCTGCAGCATTGGGAAATTGCACAGAAAATCTTTTTAAGACTTTTTGAGTTCTTTGAATTCAAATGAATTGCATAGGGTAGAAGCGCGAAGTAGGTAAGGTCATATCAAATACTTGAACAATGCCACGGCGTTCGATTTGTCTTTTTATTCAATATGCTTTAGTTGATAAAATAAAAATAGAATTGATTGGCTCTATGAGTTTCAGAGGAGATTCTACCCCATCTTAAGTAAAGATCCTACAGGAAACTTTTTACCTCTGTTATTTTATAGTAAAGGATCTCTAAAGACTATAGGCTTAAAAGAAAGAATACAAAATAAATAAGGAGCTAATCTTTAATCACTTTCAATTAATCGTATGCTGACTGCCAGCAAGTATCAAAACCTGCTTCTGCTCCTAAGTCGTTATCTGACGTTTTCTAAGTTTAAAGTCTATTTAGACTTAATTGCCTTCGATTAGTCGCTTATCGACTTCAGCTGCTATTGATATATGACTGCTTATGAGCTTATCTCAGGCATGCAAATTAGCTCCAAAGCCTACACATATCAAACATATTTTATTAATCGTAATCGGTAATCGATTGTTAGCAGTATAAACTTTGCCGTTCTTCTCTTACCTAAATAACTTAACTCACTCAAACAAATCTAAACACTACTTTTATACATATGTACGTTTACATACACATACATATACATATGTATGTGGAATCGCCTATTATTTTCCTTAAGTTTAAGCGTTAATCGATTGCCATCAACTATCGATACAACGGCTCTACAAATCTACTCCACTTGCCCAGTCTTCATCATCTCTTAATTGACTGAAAGAGAATTGTAAAGCACGATAACGTGCAAGCGGTGGCATAGAGCAAAAGCTAAAAGCAAAGCGAAAGCTTCGGCAAGTCAGCACAAGCAAAAGCAACAGCAAGAGCAAGAGCCGAGCGCCAACAAAAAAAGGCACTCAAAGCAAAGCAAAGCAACAATCGGCTGCTCGCAGTTCTCAGCGAGCATTGCAAACACGCGGTCGCCTAACGGTTTTTTTTTTGTTTGTTTCTGTTTTGTTTTGCTCTCCCATATACTGTCATTGCCAAACACCCATCCACATGTCCAGTAATGGCGGCCTACCATTCCGCTTCACCGACGAGCGTCACATGAAGTTCGTGGAGCTTTACAGCCGTGAGCCGTGCCTTTGGAACCGTCAACCCCAGCTCTGGGCTGCTCGCAATGCCGCCTACAAGCGCATCCAGATGGGCATCAATGCCGAGGCAGAACCCACTGAAAACCCGATTACCATACAGGGTGTCAAGATGAAAATCAAAAATCTGCGCACGGGCTATCACCAGGAGCTGAAGAAGATCAGAGCAAATCCCAAGTATACTCCGAAAATTCCCTGGTTTGCACCGCTGCACAAGTTTATGGCTCAATTTCTGGACAAGGTAAAGCATAATTTTGGCACAGCATTCCGATTTTATATACAATGTAGCTTATATGTATGCATCAATGTATTTCGTATATACAGAAATCGGACGAAGACATAGTGCTGGTAAATACGCCGCCTTTAAAGCGTTTGCAGATCAAATTGCCGCGCTTGAAGACCATCAAGCTGCTTCCATTGGAGTCCGAAGAGAAGCGCGAAATTAAAATGGAACTCGAGCCCGATCAACAGGTGCTTATACCCACAACAGCTCTATCCGTAATGCCCACGCAAAGTCCGCCACCCCCGTTGCGGCTAATAACGTCACCAGCCCAACCCCCTTCCCCCGTCGAAGTTAACCCTACGCCGGTTGTAAGCTCTGCGTTGTTAGATCGAACTCGGACGCTACCATCGCTGGGCGACGATGAATTTATGTTCTTCGGACTCAGCGTTGCGGCCCAACTAAGGAGCATGCCTCTCTCGAATGCAATGATTATGCAATCCAAAATTCAGTATATGCTCTCAGTGGAGCGTCGCAAGATCAGCGGCGATACCACAGAGGTAAATCTATTTACTTAAAACTTTTACTCCGTCAAATATACCAGAAATGGTCTTGACTTAAGGGGAATCACAGGTCGAATTATACATTAGTACTTCACAAAGCGCAACAATATTTATAAGTATTAATGAAAAAAGTGATTAATAATATTAAAAATCAATGTTATTTTTACTTTCCTTAGTCAACGCAGGTGAAATGCTTATACAAAATGAGCTTAAAGATTGTGTAGAACGACAGATCGTATAGCATTACCTATATTTATCATTATATAAAACATTATCACTTCTATAAGATCGTGAAAATATATGTATGTGAATAAATAATCAAGCATTCATTAATGTCGTGTCACGATAGATTTTTCAGCACGATGTCATCTCTAATTATAATATTTTAGCCGACGTGTTGAGGGAAATTTTGTTTATTGGTTTATTCTAAACAAAGAATATGCGAATACTCTCTAGTCAGAGCATGGGACGCACAAAAAGAGCGAACGCCAGCAAATGTTAAAGCACAAGGCAAGTAATTTAAAAAGCAGAAGCAATAGCGATAGCAAAAGCAGAAGCAAAAGCAAAGCGAAACAGTAACAGCAATGAAAGCAAACCGTACTGTACCACTGTAGCGAATAGCAAACGAACGAGCGAACGAGCGAGCGAGCAACTGAGCTAAAGTGAAGAGAGAACATGAGAGCATGATAGCGCGAGAGTGTGAGACCGTGGCTGAGAGAAGTATGTGACTGAGTGGTGTATGAGTGTATGATGTGAACGCGTGTTATTGTGTGGGTGAGTGTAGGCTGAGCCGAATCATCGTCTTTTCGTGCTATAACATAACATTTTTTCTGAAATTATGGCGCAAACTAGCTGTCTTTGGCATATGCGGCCAGCTCGGCTAGCATGAATCACAGACACCCTACACGTACGGACACATACACAGCTACGCGCTGACATTGGCGACAACGGCTATTACATGTAACATACAACATACATATGTATGTACTTATGCATGATTATAGATATTTATGAAAGTGCATGTGTGTATGTAGGAATCATTGGTCAATTTCTCAGACTCAGAGAAAACTGCGAAAACCGGACGAAAACAGCGACAACGACAACGACAACAACGACAACGGCGACGACAACGAACTGCTGACTATGATTGTTGTTGCGGTTGTTATTTCTTTTTTGCTTACTTTTATGAGCAGCACATGCTTATCGTTGTCTCTCTGAAATTTCGCAACAACAAAAACAACAGCGAAATACGCTACACTGTGTCCCACAAGCACAAATCGCATGAAAATGACACCCAAAAGTTTTACAGTTTAGTTTATGGATCATTTTTGTCTCTTTGTATCTACCTCTCTCTCTATCTACCCCTGTCACCCTTGCTAATTCTTAAGTTACAATAATTACTGTAGTCAAAGTGAACGTTAATCAGTGATAAGATAATGCGGCAAGAGAGAGAGAGAGGGAGTAAGAGAGTCAGAGTATATACAGTGGTTCAAAGCTTATTAAATCTAAACTAACAGAGATATGAACAAAATGAAATGCAAGTTGCTAGTTTAATGTTTTAAATTATCAAAATTAACACTTTTGTTTTGTTATGTTTAAGTATATATTTTCAAATATTGTATAATATTTAAAAACTAAATAATCGACGAAAAAAATATCATGGCTTATTTCAACCACTTATTAAAGCTAAATTTTTATTGTATGGTATGATCATATGCATATGTTTGTATATTTACATTTATATATACATTCATATATACCTACATATGGACATCTGCATTATCCTTGCTAAATCATGTCAAGTTTGACCTTTGATCGTCTTGTGCACTAATTGTATTCCCACCTGCCATAACGGGGATTCCACCCACCGGCTGATGCGAAAATGAAGTTCAGAGCTTCACTTTCGCAGCTCGCCGACGAAATTGGGTCACATGAAGGCGGCTGACTGCATGGCCCAGAATCACGGCAGACTCTCGCAGAGTTCGAGTCGAAGTTGGTGTTGGAGGGGGCTGGGATGGGGAGTGAGGAGTGCAGGGGTTTGGGGGTGCGACTGCGAGTTCTGTTGTTGTTTCAAATCGCGCAACTGCAACGCCAGCCGCACACACACACTCGGTCAACACACAACAATAGGCAGCACATGAAATGTGTGTTCAAGATACTGAACTTGGCCTTTGAAAGACTCGGTGGGGGCTCTCTCGTGTGGGACCAATCGGCCTGACCGCCTGTCTGCCCAGCTGTCTGGGCTGTTTTGGGGCCCCGAGCCACACACACTCACACACACACACACACACGCACGCACACATAGTCGAGCAGCCTCAGTAGTGCCAACGCCATCGTCATCGCCATCGCCATCGCCATCGCCCTCCAAACAACAAAAACCCATCCGCATATTTTGCGAGCACTCACTCTGCTCCCACTCGGTATTTATATGCATCATCAGCTGTTCGTGCGAACCGAGCGACCGTACAGAGAGGCCAGAGACAGCAACCGCAGCAGCGACCAGAGTCTGATTCCGAATCAGATTCAGTACCAGAGACCGCCGGCAGCGCATTACGAGGCGAAAATACTTTAGACTCTAGCTGGAGCTTCAGGTGGTCGGCTATTACTACCTGTGCTTATGCATGCATACTCAGCGCAATCAGGGCTTAGCTTAATTGCACGTGAAGCCATTAGACAGTTTGATTTTCTTGTTGTTGTTGTTTGTTGAGATCAACTGAATCTTAGACGATAAGATATGATCAGAGGATGCTTGAAAGTATACAAATATCAGTTCTGTAAACTTTTAATATTTTTATATTTATCCTAAATCTTATATTCATTTCTATCGAATGCTTAAGCACCAAAAGTTTTATTTAAGCTGTATAAAATATGATCGAAAGACGTAAGGATCTAAATAAATGTAATAGAAAAAGCTTTTGATCGCATCTCTGACTATTATGAATCTATTATATAATTATCTAGCTCCTAATCAGACGATTAACAATATACAACAAACAACTAAAGTTTAGGTCTTCAACTTTTTATTTACTTTTGAGACTTTTTTGAGGATAGCAAAGCAAGTTTTATGTAATATTAATTTTTTAACTTTTATGTAGAGTTAGACTAATTTGAGCCAGATAATATATTTATTTTATTTACATATGCAAATAGCAAATAATATCTCTCTTAGGGCATCTAGAAAATGACTATCAATTTCATTCCTCCCATTTCAAACAATAGCCAATTAACGCTCGAAACATTTTGCATTTGGCATGAAAAACAGCTTGGCCAAACTTTTGCATAATAACACACACAATTGTATTTGTATTGTCCTGGATAGTGAATATGCGTATTACATGTGCATTGCGACAGCATAACGTAACGGTAAACGTGAGAGATACATTGCATCCATATGGCAAGCATATTGGCTCAAGTAGGCGACGACAGGAAGACGCCACTGGACCAAAAAGCAAAAGAAAAACAACAACAACAACAGTAACAAGAGCAACAGCAACAGCAACAGCAGCAAACAAACAAACAACAGCAACAACGACAACAAGTGCCTGGCACTCTGCTCTGACCATCTCTGTGCCTGGCCAGGCCGTCCTGCTGTGTTAAGTATATTTATATATGTGAGTGTGTATGATTGTGTATGGGTGTGTGCAGGGAAACTGCTAGATTTCGCTCATACAGGCTGTCAGCCAGTTCTATAAAGGGACCAACGGCAACAATCACAAACACACACACACACACCCATTCAGGCTCACACACGCACACTTACACACATCTGAGGCATATGAGAAATCCAAGAATCATGCAGAACTGCAACTAAGCTAGCAAACTATGCCGTCCTCAGAGCGTCAGCTCTTCAAGCTAAACAACATTGTAAGGCCAGCGACCACCCCGAATTGCAATTCTCTACCAGAATAACAGACTCAATGGGCTACTTGGCCAGAGCAGGAGCTTGAATGGCAAGGATACCAGAAGAAAAATTACCTAAAAATATATAAATATTTGCAATAATATCATATAATTAATATTCAAATTCATTCATTTTAATATTTTTTAACTAGAAGGAACTCTACTAAGTTAGGTAAGTAATCAAAAAATAACTTAAATACGTTATGAGACATTTTTAATGTCGAAATTTAATTTGAAAGTATACCAAAACAGATTACAAATACACATGGAAGCTAATTTAAATTTAATATTAAACTAAAATTTATTTAACTTAGAAAAACAAGAGGATTTTTTGAAAGGGTTATTTTTCAAAAATATAATAAACAAAAGCTCACAAAAAAAAAAAAATTTTTTTTTTGAATCCTACTAATTAAATTTTTTTTAATTAAAAAAAAA